AATCAAAAATCGCTAAAACTTTCGTCCATTAGCTTAGAATTTTTGACAGCATTAACAAGTACAAATATTATCGTGCATATCTTTTTACGGTATATACATGCATATCATTGCATACCTGTAGGCATCTGTTGTTGGCCGCCCACGGCGGGTGGGTTGGGATCCTTGGTCTCTAATTCCATCGCAATTCAACTTTTAATCTGCAATAAGAAAAAAGACAAACACAAAATCGAAATTTTAAGTGTTTAAACCTGACGGTCCTCAATCGTACAATTTCAAAAAGTTTTTACATTCACCATGGGGGTTATAGGGTTAAGCATGTAGGGTCTATGCAATGAAATGCAATTCTTTACTACAACAGTTACAACCTAGAAAATACGCCATTCTGTTCAATTTATAACCGTATTTTTAGTTTTGGTTTTGCTATTTTAAAAAGGTATTTTGGAACCTTTCAGGTATTTACATCTGTAACATCGATTTCCACATTATAGGAGCAAAATTGAAGAAACCTCAATGTTGACTGAAGTTGGTTGCGTTGATTTGTGGTAGTAAAAATGCTGGTTTGGAAAAAAGGTAAACTTGATGTATACACGTGACACCAAAAAATATAACGGCCAATATGTAATTCTTTTCAAGCCAAAGTGAAATGGACTGTATTACGTCGTGTCAGTGCTGAAAGGTCCTTACTGAAAAATTGCATCAAAAGGTCCTTATTGAAAAGTACTATTTTAAACATGAAATTGGGCAAGGAAATTAGTTCAAATTTAAGTACACTGGCCCCAGAAAACTAGTTCAGTAGATAAAAGTAAAACAATCCATTATCAACAGAACGTACATCTAAATAAACATGTATAATGAACCAGTAATCAATGAAAACGGTAACTTGCTGTGTCTAATGTCTGCATCAAATTAATGTAGTTAATTGAGATAAGTTACTGTTATTTTTACGGTAAGTTACTGTCCAATAAATGACAGCGATTTACCGTGAGAAAAATTACTGTAAATCATTAACAGTATTCTACTGGCGACTGTGTTGCCAGTAAAGTACAAAAAGAAGTGGTACGGCGTGCAAGAAGTGCCATTCGACACCAACATTCATCATACGTGATCAAAATATAGTTTGAAAATAGACATAAGAGTATCAAAGGTTTGGCCAGTCGGTAGTGGACAGTCAACAAAAAAGAGGTTCCATTGGAATTTCAAGGGGAAAACGAAGATATACGCGTCATGCAGAGAGGCACGGTGTAAGGAATCTCGTCTTTCTTTTTCTTTCTTTTTGGTTCATAAGGAATCCGTATTCAAACTTAAACAAAAAGCACCATTCGTGTACCGGCACTCGCACTTTTCTTTAGAATGATTAATATTCGAATGAAAAGAAAACTCCAACCATAAGCCTTATTGCTAATACTAGAAGAGTGATTTTGCACAATAGTATAAAGGCATCATGGGAAGGTTTTGCCTTCCCACAATGCCTTTCCACAGTCTGTTGAGCAACCATCCATGCAGTATTGCGATAAGCTTATGAAGGTAGCAGGAACTATTATTTCTTCCTCCATGCTCCAACCTATTTCCATCGCTTCGAAGTCCACGTATGGTTGTATACGCGTCAATGGAGCCAACGTGCATCGAAATGTATGCACAATTATTTTAAAAATTTAGTTCAATTATAGACTCATTTTGCATAAATTTTAAGACCTACCCGTATCGAACGTTGCCAGTAATTCGAATTATAGTACTTCATGTACACGATGTTCCAAGCTCTATGGATCCATGAACATGCCACCAATTGCTGTTTCCGAGTCTCCATTCATCATTTTATGCGCCCACGGCTCATGTTTACTTAAGCTAACCCTATTATGTAACGCTGAAAGCCAGCGTCACAGCGGCTTGCATAATGATCCTGCTCTTCAAAGCGGGTCAAAATTAAACTTGCTTATCAAGTCGTTGATGCAATCGAGAAATATAATTCAGTGTAGCAATCATCTATCATAGGCATGCCACAGACCCAGAGGGGGAGTTCGGGGGTCAACTCCCCCTCGTGACATACATTTTTGAGGGACATTTGTCTAATTGGAAGACGCCCCAAAACAAATGAAGCTTTCCGTGTACAGTGAAAGACAAGACAATCATATATGCCTAGACTACTAGGTCACATTAATGTTGCATGCAGTCAACTCTTACAAAAGAGGCTCGTATGCACCGATCGACTCGTGTGTTTTTATTCATCCGTGCACCATGCTGTGGTTTGCGCAAACCGTCGTACCCAAGCCAACTACATGTACATGTACATTGTGCACCACCCATCCAACTCGTGCGCAGCTCGAGCGATGCACGAGCGCATGACATGTCCAGATGCAATACCCAGTTTTCGTTCGATAGACTATAGTAACTCCGAGTAAAGAAATGATTTCAAGTGCAAAGACAATTTATATCCAAAGCAGCTTCTTTGCTATTTTTGCTATTCTTTGACACAGCTCTTAGCAGCATAGCATGCATCCACGGCCACCCCACCCCCAAAAACAGCTCTGCTCTGAGCCACAAATTTAAAAATGAGAAAGAGAGATTTCCATTTGCTTTATCCATAAACCTACTCAAATTTTAAAGAACAGTACAAAAATTCAAAATGTCACAATTACAAATGTGATAGTCAAGAAATATAAATACAACTTGTATTACAAGATAGAGCCAATATTTTTTTACTACATGATGGCTTGCCATTTTCTTGTTCAATTTTTCATTAATGAAAATAGTGATAAGTTTAAAAAGCAACAGTGCCCTAAATTCATAGACTTTTAGCACGCAACAAGGTAAAGACACACATCCTCGCACGTGTCGTATACTAGGCTGGAGTCTGGGGCTTCGCGACCGGGGGTGTGGGGATGCCCCCAAATAATTAATTCCAGTCAGCAAACAGCAAGAGCTTCAGTTGGTAAATGAATGCAAAATGGGTACATAAAAGAGACACATTGGCCATAAGCGTGTCCCTGGAAGTATGTCAGGGTACAACGGATTTCATTTAGTACGACACGAGGTTGGCGAACAAGTTATAAGTCAGTTTTTCTATTGACTGTGCCTCATCCCCCAAGAAAATGACTTTGCCACGCCCCTGGCTGGTACACAATATTTGGCATACGAGTTGGTCCGCGCAGGAGTAAGTCCACGTATCAGTCGATCCGAGTAAATTTGTTTATGGCGTATACAGGACGACTTTTTCGTTTCGTGACGCACCGGCTTGCAACGCATCGAATATACAAGTGACATGATAATCGGTACGTCACGCGTCCCATTAATGGCGGCTTGGCGACAGTAATCCAGAAATTGGGCCCCAAATATCTATTTTTTCCGCATTGAAGTAAAATTTGTTCCACTTTCAGGTAATGATTTTGCTTTGTGAAATGTCAACCGACCATAATAGGGTGGGTTTTTGTATTTGGGGAGAGTATAATGGGGAGAGTCAGACTACATGTAGACCAGAAATGGGGTCTTCAAATTTGATTAAATGTAATAGACCAATTGTGCCAGCTAAATCACGTGAACTTATAATGGGTATCAACCCAACAGTAATGTGTGTTTGGGTGTTGTTTACAAACAACACAGCAAGTTACAGTATAGTACCCATCAGTAGTCTGAGTACGGTACCTACTCTCGGCTTTATTTTTGGTAAGTGATACTTATATTTGTTAGTGGACGCCGCGTTTGTTGATATTTAATGCCATTAAAGGTCACGTGACTTAGCTGGCGCAATCGGTCTATAAATAACAATAAGGCAAGTTCGCGGCTCCAGCTAAGCCGTAGGCGAACTTCCAAATGTTATGACATGAGCGTATAGGTTGGAGTTACTCATGGTAGGGACTATGAACATACTCTTGCAAACGTACCATTATACATACCTTTAAGTGGGCTTTTAACGACACGGATGCAAGAAACGTTTAACAGTAGATTTAATGCATAATTTCATAGAGGCCTGGTAATACGTACCTACCTGCCTCATAAGTAACTCCCTAGCTTGATAGAGTTTGTTCCTTGCTCCGTGATCAAGACCTGTACGTGTGCAGTTGTACCGACGTCGTACACAATCACATTCTAATTTCTATTCATCACGTAGCCTGCCGGTCCTGGTGCACCTTTCACGATTATCACTATGGTGAAATGGATTACCGAAAAAAATATAATAGCACCTGTCTTACAATACAAGAGGATTTACCTTTGTTCAGGCAGCCCTTCATTGGATTTCTACGCAGCGTCACCCATTTTACCGTACAGACGATAAATCTGCGACATCTTTCATTTTCTTGTTATACTCCCAGCAGCAACGGACATGAAAATTGGCAAGTGCAACGAAACTTTCGGAGCGGGGCATACTAACCATGAAGTACTCGCAAAAGGTTAATGCAATGGTGTTGACGCTATTCCGTGTCAACAAGTATACAATGCCTCCCCCTCCCCAAGTTGATTCACTCTAGGAAGAATGAAGGGATGAAGGGCGCCATCCACACTGAACCGTTTCACCTGATGATAGCTAATCGTACATTCATGATATCTGCATTTTGTGATAAGTCTTCTGAGCTACGCCTGGCAATAGCTTTTTTTACCTACGAACCTCTCCCCTTCTATATCACGGCGCCAACTCACGGCACAATGTCCGTCCATAGAGCAAAGGCTCGTACACTATTCTGCCTGAGAAGCGTGGCATGCACGTTTTTAAATTTACACGACAAAAGAGACAATACATAAAGATCCAAGTGGAGCTGTCCAAAAAAATTAACGAAACTAGAAAACAAAACGACATGACCAGGAAAAATCATAGCAGGACTACGAAAACAAGAATTCATTCTAATAATTATTATTTTGAGTCCGGTCCTTAAAGTACAGCTTTGTCATTTTTACTTTTTTTTTAATCAACAATTAGAAATAAACAATGCACGCTGAACATATTCTGCTCAGATTTCCAGGAAAACTTACAAAAATTGCTTAGGAAAGGAACTTAATTCTATTTGTAATAAACAAATACTAAACCACACATTGTTAACCTGAAAAGAATGTCAACTTGTAGTAACAGCAACTCGATGTTCCGCATCAACTTAGTCTCAACACATACTTCATCCGTATCTGTCTGTACTTGCAGAATCATTACTGTCACGAGTTCGGTAGAGAATAGAATGTTCAGTAAACCTTCTCCAACGTTTTCATACTTCGAACACAAGTGCAATTATTATTAATAGTTACTGCGATGAAGCTGATTTTAGAGTTTGATCAGTTAGTTTGTAAAGATGCATTTAGGCATACATTGAGCCATGAAAACAAGCAATTTCCAAAATTTGTTCATGTCCGAAATAAGAGCCGCGACAGTCAAACCATCGTTCGAGCAGCGACGTCGATTTTTGATTACTTCTTGTGCTCAATCGCTCCAGCGCAAGTGTTCAGGGACACACTGCCGGGACCACCAACGATGTGGGAATTGCTTCGCCTTTTACTTAACTCAAAATATGTACATCACTTTAAAAAAACATCGACTTGAGAATTGGGCAGGTGTTCTATCCCCTTCCTCCCCTCAATTCCAGTGGGGAAAACGGGCCACTCTCAGCCCCGAGTTGAAGTCAACCTCCCAAGCGACAAAAGAAAGACACATGGTTGTAAGTTTTCCAAGGGTGTTCTTGCACGGGCATTCTATTGCTTATTTCAGAAGTACAACGATACAACTCCGTGACAAATCAAAAGTTAAAGCAAAGTATCCGGTGATTAAAATGTTTTATTTTTTGGCGTTGTTTAAAATCCTTGTGAATTAACTAACTGGTTAAAAGAATTAAAGAGGATGGATTAGTTACGGTATACGAAGAAAAATATGATTATAAATACGTAAAAGTTAACATGTTGGTGGTGTACAGGTCGTCGGTGTTTTCAGTGACAAAAATCTGGAAAATCAGTCATTTTTAATCGAGAGTTTTTCTGCGATTTAAGTCCCGATGATTCAAAGAACATTTGGCACGGTTACAAAGGAAAATGTTTACTTTCATATAAAGTTCGGTCTCTATATTTGTTTCACGATGTTCTGCGCGAATCGGGGTGCCAGCGTGAGCATGTGCGCGAACGATGTTGAACATAAAATTTAGCGTGGGTCTCGAAATGTAACAAATATGTAAACATATTTTCATAGGCACAAAGTGTGCACAGTGTGAAAGAGAAAAGTAAGACATCAAAAAATTTGCCGTTTTCACGAGGTGAAAAGGTTTTATTATAATGAATTATTGTGTAATTGAAAAAAAAATTCTGCAAATGATGTGGATAAGCCTTTGTTTCAAACTCTTACATTCCATGACTGTTCACAACACTCCTGGAATCCTTAGCAACAAAAGGCGGCGAAAATGTGTCATGGGGGGTACTTCAAACACGTGATCTTGGAATGTCTGCTTTGCATGTTAAGGGTTTTTGTCACTTGGTGAAAACACCGATGATGTATTCTGTGTCCGAGTTGCACATAAAAGTCTTCAATTATTCAGCGTGAAACAGCAGCATGAAAAACATCCATATAACAAACTTAACTATTGGCACTATATTAATATTAAAATGGGAACCTATCTCAAGAAAAAAAGGCACTACTTATGCAGTAAAAATGGATCTTTCACCTTTTACACATTCACCGACAGGACAATATTTTCAGTAAAAACGACAAACACTAAAATCTCTATCAAACGCTAAAAATTAACCATAAAGTTTTTTAGTATAACTCTGCAATAAAACAATAGGGGCACTTTTTGTAAATATTTTAGATGTTCTCAATGGCTTTTCAGTTGGTAACCCCATCTAACTACACTAAGGCCAAAGCAAAATGAATACCGCAAGATGCATTTCTAAACAACTGTAAGAAAACATTCCATCATAACATTAACAGGAAGGAATTTCGTCATAAAACATTTGTTGATTGAGCATCCAAAACTTTACGGAGAATTTAAGATGCGAGAACAAACACGTCACACACAGTCATGGTTGTCTGGTCGAAACTGCTTGCAAATATACAGCATCGAAAAAAAAATCAATTTTCTGCTACTGGATATTTACACGTCAATGCTTACCTTTAGTTCAAAAGTTAAATTTGACAAAATACAAAAAAAAAATTCATTACAAACCTTTAGTTTTATGTTACAGCCTTCAGCACATGAATTTACTCAAAGAACAAAATTCTGGACATTTCGCATGAGCAGAACGACGTTTCTCACTTCTCAACCCCTTTCGATGGAAATCAAAGATTCGTGAATGAAGAATTATTTCTAACTGTTCCTAAATACTGGCCCATATCGATCATTAACTTTCTCAAAATGAAATCAAAACCCCGGGTGCATAAATTGTTTACCAACTGGTTCATCCCATTGTGCCTATTGAACTCTCAAAGACCGGCTCCGCCCGGTGAGTGCTTTCCTAGCGTGAACTTGCACTCAGGGCAGCTGTGAATGGTGTCCTTCAGGCTGGGAATGCAGAGCGGGATCAGGGCGAAAGGACACATGCAAAACCAAACCCTGGAAATTGAAAGGAAAAAAAAATGTATCAGGAAAAGTAAAGTAAAAGTTTACCAAGTAAAACTCAGTTGGTGAGGACCGTTGACTATGATGTCGATTAGAGCACATTAATCTATGCACAACTTCCACCAATAACACCGAGAGAAGTTAACTCTCACAGCTTCAGCTACTTCTTCAGATTCACTTAAAAGGGTCAGACTAAGTTAGGGTTAATTAATGTGATGTATGCAGGACATTATAGGTCTACGGCTGTTAGTAGGTATCACAGTGTCCAGCGGCATGCAGGGGCGCTGCTTAAAATGTTGAAAGAGACTTTGCCGGAGGACTACTTACGTCACGAAGCATACCCATCCGACTATCACCCAGACTGCTGTGCCGTTCGCTTTCCTGGTCTCGGTGGTGATGTTTTTCCCGCAGTTGGTGCACTGCATGATCCTGGGGTCAGGCGTGAACATCTGCATGGGCACGGTGACGTAGGTCGTTCCCATGGGCTGGGCTGTCACCACGGCCGGGCGGGCAGGCGCGGACGGTGGCGGTACTCCCGGCTGGGCGACCATCGCCGGCTGCCCAGGAGGAGGGCACGGCTGAGGTTGAGTCGAATAGGCCGGAGGGGCTTGGGATGGATAGGCAGCAGGGGCTGGCTGTTGTGGATATGCTAAAAAATACAAATAAAAGTGTTTCTGATCTGTATTGGAGAGCTCACTGCTTTGAGGGATGGGTGAAAGTTCAAGACAGCAGAACACCAGTGAGAAATGAAACCGAAGACCTTATCTTAAATGCATCCATTTTTGCTACATAGATCTTTGTTTCTTTTAACTACTTTTACAGGCAAAACATGCAGAGATCGAAAATCGCCATGTAAATTAACTTAGAATTCTCTTACCATTAACAAGTACAAACACTATCATGTAATGTATCATTACATACCTGTAGGCATCTGTTGTTGGCCGCCTACAGCGGGTGGGTCGGGGTTGGGATCCTTGGTCTCTAATTCCATCGCGATTCAAATTCTAATCTGCCATAAAAGAAATCACAAAATGAGAAAAACAGAGTCGTCCTCGAAATATTAAGTGCTTGTGTCCCAGCGATTTCCCAAGTCGTACTTGTACGTGAGTACATATTTTCCTACTCGAACTCGTTCTCACCAAAATGTACTCATACTTCAGAAAACATTTATAATTGTGACGAATGGAAGGCTGCAGTCGCCATTTTCTTGTATAATGGCCAGAAAAATGTAACCATTTCTTGGCTTCTAGGTTTCCATGTATATATTCATACACACACACATATATGTTTTACATAGTTACAAAGTGTGGACTTTCCTTTGTTCTCCTGTGGTTAAGGGAACTTGAGGAAAATACTCCTTTTTCTCTAACTAGGACAACTCCTTCGAGCTGGACTTTTGATGATGATTTCCTGGAGTGTTCCTCTTCATTTTGCCACTGATAACCTTGACCCCAAAACGCCTCTGAAACTGTTTTTCAGAGAGGGAAAAACATTGTGTGGACGTGTGCGAGTCCGCACAATGCCCTCGCACCCTACATTATGTGGACTTCTTTTGGGCAGAGGTCCACACTATGTTTTTGTGCAGAGGTCCACACTATGTATGCCACGCGTGCACACTGTCACACACACACACACCCACACCTACCTTACATACCTACTGTGGCCATTCCTTTCTTTACGTGCAGTTAAGAAAACTCAATGAAAATACTTATTTTTCTTGAAGTAGGGAACACGATTTTCAGCTGGCTCTTTGTACAAGGTTTCCTTGACTATTCCTCTTCCTTTTACGACGATGATCCCTACCCCAAAATGCCTCTAAACTTCTTTTTCAGGGAAGGGGAAACGTCCTGTGGACACGTGTAAGTCCACAGAACGTCTTCTTTTCCTGCATCATGTGGACATTTTTTGATCACAAGTCCACACTAGGTATTTAAGGTTACGTTAGCGCACATACACACACCCCAACTGCCCCTCCACCGGCAAATTAGGCCTACGCCAAAAGAACTGCCATGCAACAACAACATTCATCACAAATTACGTGATCTGTAAATAAAACCGTTGAAAAATAGATACGAGTACATGTATCAACATTTTGGCCAGTCGGTACTGGGCATTCAAAAACATGAGATTTTAATGAAATTTTAAGCGGAAAGCTTATGAGAAGTACCATTCGTGTACCGATACCATTATTGACTCGATCTCGCGCTCAAGAATATGTACTTGTGTTCGCATGAAAGGAGTTACTCCACACATACAACACTGGGAATTCCTACTTTTGTGGTGCCGAATCCATGCATGCAACACGTCAGTCCACATGCATACAGCCAACTGGCATAAAAATGTCTGTACAATTGTTTTAATATTTAAATCAAAGACGCATCTTGCATAAAACTTGAGGAAAGACCTCTTACCTCGCTCTTCGAAAGTAGCCAGTGCTGAGGTACAGTACACTGTGTTCCTCGATGTGTATACATGTACATGTAGCTCTATGATATGACATATGTACGTGTCATCAGTTGCTGTTTTTATCCAGTTTCTATTCATGTTTACTTGAGCTAATTACGTAACGCTGACAGCCAGCATGCATAATCATCCTGGTATTCTGGATAGGTCAAAATTAGACTTGCTCATCAAGTCATTCATGCATTTGAGAAATATGATTCAGGGTCCTGAATAACAATATGATTATCGTGGGCAGGGCTCCGATTCAGAGAGGGAGGCAGGGATCAGTCCCCCCCCCCGACATTTTTTCATATTTTAGGGGCTTCGTCTAAATTGGGAGAATACGCCATGTACGGGTCTTATGCGTTTACCGTTACAGAGATTAATGGCTTCACCACCAAGCCAGCGGATTCGGTGCATCCACAAACAACTCTTACGCAAGTAAGGTCGTGTCCGAATAACTCGGCTACGGCCGGAAATTACGCACGGGTCAGTGGCCGCGGCCAGTTCCCATTAAGTCATGTGTAAATTCCGGCCGTAGCCAAGTAATTTGGACACAGCCTCAGCTCCTATACACCGACTTGACTGGTTCCCGACCCGTATACATAGTCTACAGAAGTCTTACGGACGTCCTCCGAACGTATAGGGACCGGTAGCATAACTTTTTCCTAGGAGGGTAAGGGGCAGTTATCATATACTGCAAGCTCGATCAATTTAGTGAGCACTTCATAGAAAGTTAGAAGGTAAATTTTGAGCTTTACTTTCCTATTATCACAACATCCTCTTATCAAGCCCCCCCCCAGTGTAACTGTCATGTAGACTCGAACCCTTGCCTTGCCGTTTACAAGTCAAGCGCTCTTCTGAGTTACCATGTAACTAACCACGGAGGAAGGAACACAGTGTGTTCCTTCCTCCATGAACTAACCGAGAGAGCAATTTTGTTGTATGTTATCCTTAAAAGTTCTACGATAATTGTCCTTAACCTTCCTACTAAAAACGCATGCTCAGCGGTTCAGACAACCATTTTTATTATAATTACACATAACCTTCCTAGGAAAAAATTACGTGGACCGGTAGCAGGTAATGAAACTGGACGAAGTCTGCCGGTTTTATGTAAATGAGGTAACAATGCCCGCTCAATGCAAAAATCAAGCAGGACCTGATAGAATATTTGCCTTTTATTCTTCGTCATACCGAAAATAACTTCACCATAAATTGCCTTTCTATCTCAGATTCAACACAATAACCACTAATTTGAAATAAATTGCCGTAAAATGATTTATTGATGATAACCATTGAAAAACAAATTACCACTCTGTGATCAACAGAGGATTGGCAAGGATAGTTATTTGTGTTTTAATTGACTTTCCGCACGTATGTTTCCTTCTTCAACTTAGCTTTCCTCATTGTGCAGGGTCGTACACTGGAACACCAGCGAGCTTTTGTGATGGAAACAAGACGCCTGATGGATTATTTTTGTTATCAAATATGCCTTAGCCTTTTTCGAGCAGTAAAAATTGGTTTGTTTCCTCTCCTCCTTTAGAACAAATCAATATATTCTTGCAACCGGGGTTTTCACAAGAATGCGAAACACATAATTATAAAGCCAGCGTTGAAGTAAAGGTCATCCTGATTGGTTATTAGCTTAGAAAGGTTTTATAAAGCCAGATTTACGAACTTGAAAATCTGGTTTGCTTTGATTTTATTCTGTCATAGCGATTTATTGCGTAATCAAAAGTCCAGTTGATATTCGAATAGTGTAGAAGTTAGTGGGGCTTTAATGGTGTCGATAAAAAAATCTTTTTATAGTATGTCAAGGATCGATACTGCCTTCTAATGACGATGTTGCGTAAGTGGCTCAATATCACTTAAAAACTTCTCCTACTTTTGGCTTTATTATGTGCTAATGTCCACTGTAAATATACATGTGAGGTATATCTTCAGGAATATCCCAACAAGAACAGTTTATGTTGCACTCTGTGTTGGCAAGACGCGGTACGGCGTCTCCTTGTACATGTAATACGGCATGCACAAGTATATATCGCACACTGGCTACGGCTCTCCACCTCTGGCTCTTTCAATCAAAATTCGAAGCCGTAGTCGTAGGAGACAGGACCGGATTATGGCTACCCTTGTCATGGGCTATCCCATACAATCCCACTAATGTTCAGCGTCCAATTTGATAGGGCTAATCGCATACGTTAAACTGCAGCTACCGGTCCCTATATACAATGAACGGGGACCGATCCATATATTTTAATATAATGGCTTGTCTTTTCTACTTTTTAATTCTTATAAAATGTAAGTTTTTAAAAGCATCAATGGCTAAATGGGCTTTGACACGTAACAATTTGACACGCGTCCTTGCACGTATCGTATATGCAATTTGGCATACGAGTTGGTCGGTGTACGAGTTAGTTATGGCGTGTACGGGACGACAGCAGTTCGTGACGCACGCCCGCAAGCATCAGCTATGCACGCGACATAATATACC